GATTTCTACGTTGGAAGAAATGGATATGAAAGTATTACAGTTTCAGAACAAAAAGCTTGCTCAGGTAATTTTATAAACTTTAGGTTTACTCCCTGATTAAGAAATCTAATTTGAAATTATTTAAAATGTTTTGAAATGCTTTAAAAACATCTGATTTGAATACTATATAGATATACACAATTAACATGAATGTAATCATTTCAAATCATCTTTCTGAATCAGGAAATCATCAAGAAATTAAATATCAAGAAATTATATACATAAATTATTGAATGTGTATATTATGTTTTTTTTTTTTTTTAATTATTAATAGAGATTAGAACAGCGGCATCGCATAGAAACAGAACTTCGTCAAAGAATAGAACAACTAGAAAAAAGACAGATGCAAGATGATGCAGTATTAAATGTTGTCAATCGTTATTGGAATCAATTAAATGAAGATATTCGTGTATTGCTTCAACGATTTGATGCTGAAACTGCCGATGAATCAGAAAATAAAAGTAACTTATTGAACTCATTTTCACGCAAATTGAATATAATTATTTAATTATATTTATAATTTATAATTGTTTATAATTATATTATTATTTAAAAGTAAATATACTTTTCAGATGAGTCTGAAGCAACAACATCTTTTTTAATGCAACTATCTTCTTGGGATAAAGAAGAATTGAATGATAAATTGGCACACCGAGTACAAGTATCGAAACGCGCTGTTTCTAAAGTTGTACAGGCATTTGATCGATTATCACAACGGAATGAAAAAATATCTCTCGCTTTAAAAGGCGAGTATAGTGGAGGTTTGTTAATATTTGTAAAAAATTAATTTTACCACACAATTTTATATATTTATAATGAAAATTTAATTTCAAGAAACTTTACAAATTGACGAAGTTATTAAAAAGACAAATATCGAAATTCAAGCAGAAAACCGTAATTTGCAAGCTATAAACCTCCAGCTTCATGAAAAATATCATGCAATGTCGTTAAAAGTATGTATATTTGTTTTAAATATTTTCAACCTAATTTTAAAATACTCGAGTAACTTGTGGTAATTATAGATGTCTGAGCTGCAAGACACAATTACTGGAAAAGATACGCTCACGGCTGAATTAAGAAATCAAGTTGATGATTTACAATATGAATTAAATAAAGTTCGTGCAAGAAATGATAAATTAGAACATCACCTTGGTGAGGCAATCGAAAAACTAAAAACATTTCAACAAATTCATGGCTCTGATGAAAAAGGAAATAATAAATCGACTTCTCTGGTTGCATCCAGTGTTTCGCAAACAAAGGTATTATTTTTTTTTTTTAATTATAATTTTTCCATGAGTTATTTTTGCCTCATTCATTGACATTCCAAAGAACTAAATTGAATTTCAAAACTTTAAATAGTTTAATTGAACTAAAATCGACTTATTTGTCGTCAAATTTGCAAGCTTTTGTTTATGTAGACGTGTGTGCTTTGTTATGAAATTTTTATTCACAGCAAGTATACTATTGATACATCGATCAGTTTTTAATTACATTCAAAATTATCATACAATCATAAAAATATTACAAAAAATTTCCTTTTGAGTTTATAATAGGGTAAATGTTCCAGTAGTTGACCGGACACCAGTAGTTGACCGCTTTCATAAAAAAGTCCACAAATTATTATAAACTGCATTTTTTATGACCCTGAAATTTATTTTTAACTATTGTTGAACTTATAATCATTACAATGAATAGGTATTCCAAATATTATTTAATTTTCAGGACATCGAAAATAATTCATGAAAATTTTTCATCGCATGATCTGACTAAAATCGGTCAATTATTATAGTAGAGTATTCGAAAGGCGACTACATGTTTTAGTTAACAAAAAAGTTTCTATTACGTTAATCTTGCCAAATTAAATTCTGAAGTAGTCTTTAACAGTTTCTTAACAAATCTGTTAATAAGATTTGACAAAAACAATCAAATAAATACCAATTCAACGACCGGTCAGATACTGGCACAATAAAACACCGTTGTACCATCAATAAATAACTTCGGTCATCTATTGGAACCTGCTATTTTTCAAAATACCAGTAGTTGACCGCATGCACAGTTGTAAGTTTCTAACTTATATAAAATAAAAATATAAATATGTTTACGTGATAATTTCATGTTTACATAAGTGTTGTTATTTAAAATAATTTATAATTATTAAATTATCCACAGATTTGGTAGAATCTGGCGCCAAGTTCCGTTCAAATCCGTTGTCAACGGAGCGCCAGACTACCGACTGTGTTTACTGTAAGCAGAACGGTATTTTGAGGTTGCAAAATTTTATTTAATTCTACGGTACTTTTTTTTCCTAAATTGTATATTATAACAGTAATTCATACTTTATTTCACTGTTATTAATTAATTATATTCACTTATAACAATTAATCTACTTGAAATTACTAAATTTAATCAGCATAAACTATAGCAACGCAAAAATTTCGATCCTGACTTTTTGTCGATGGGCAAAGTGATCTGCCACAGACTAAAATATTCGAGAATGCATAGTAATCCTTCATAAGATGGGACACTACAGTTAAAAAAAGATATTTCACAACTTGCATCTACACCCGCCAGGGTGCGCTAGAATTATTTTTACATAAACTGTAGCTTAAAAGGGATAGTTTGCTATAAAAAATACAGCCAACGCGAGATTTAAGTTGGTACCAAATGTAAATTTTTATTATAATTACAAAAAAAAACTAAAATCCGAACAAAAACAGTTTCACTGTAAAAAAAAATCGCGCCAAGTCCACGTTCATAAAGACTATTAAGAAAAAAAAATTAGTTTTTTCTTTACAAAAAGATAAAAAATAAAAAAATTAAAAAATCCTCGTAACCGATATAATTGTTTATGATTTTCAGAAATTAAAATAAATTTTGTTGTAAATTTAAAAATTAAAAAAAAAATTTTGAAACGTAAAAATTATTATTAACTGCATTTTTTATGACCCTGAAATTTATTTTTAACTATTGTTGAACTTATAATCATTACAATGAATAGGTATTCCAAATATTATAAAAATATAAATATGTTTAGGTGATAAATTCATGTTTACATAAGCGTTGTTATTTAAAATAATATAACTGTTTTTGTTCGGATTAGTAATAAAGAAGTATTTATGCTTATTGTTTAGTGTATTTCAAATAAGATGATTGTTGAGTCAAGTTTAAATTTGTACACTGATAGAAGGATTTATTAGCTATTAATAATTAAATTTATTTAGGAGAAAAGAGTACATTTATTAATAGTTAATAAGTATTTATTTATATTTAACCAATATTTATTAACAGTTAATAAATATTTTGTTGAGTGAATTTGTGTTTCGCTTGCAATGTCATATGTTATGAAGATTGCTTATGAACAAAAATCATCTTTACAAATTATTTAAATTAATTATATTATTTTATAATAATGTTTACTGCAACATACCAAATTTTATCACAGCTCATAATTATCTTATATATTTTAAAATATTAAAAACGTTAATTTATTTAGTGAATCGAATTATTATCATGTGTTCCAGCTGTAGGGTTATAAGAAGTGTCAAACGAAAATTGCTATTTTTGCTTTTGATTTTAAATAAATATTTGTTAAAAGTTAACAAATATTCATTAAACATTTATGAATATTTATTAACAATTAATAAATCGTATTTAATAAATAATTTATAAACTGTTAATAAATATTTATTAAACCCTATGATATTAACAAACATCATTAAATATAAACAAATCCTTCTATCAGTGTAACAAGTTTAAATATGAATTTTTTTGTTGATATTAGAAATATATAGACATAAATTGATAGTATTAATAGTGTATTTTAAATAATAGTTATTATTTTTAATAATTGCATACGTGTGCCTCAAAAAAATGTTTTGCTTTTGTCATTATTGAATCGAAGTTTAATTTACCAATCTCTGTTACTTTTTTATTATTATTAGTTTTGTTCTAAGCTAAACGAATTTTGTTAACTAATAATAAAAATCTAATTTAAATAAATAAGCATAAAAACATTATACATTAAACATGAAAAACTAATTAAAATTTACAAAATAACCAATGTTTGATAATCGGTCAACTACTGGAACACTCCGGTCAATTTACTGGATCAAGCCGGTCAACTACTGGTGTTTTTATCTTACCTGCACTTGAATGTAAATCTGTATGTAATTTTATGAATAATTCGAATAAATAACATCACATATCAAAAACTTTGATATTTAAAGTTTAAATAAACTTAAAATTTTTGACTTCCCGCTAAAAATCTCAGATTTTCAAAAATCAGGAAGTTATTGTTTTCACCCCGTTTTGCAAAAATCGAGTTTTCATCAGATCTCGACGTTTGAAGGTCACAGGAAGCTTCCCTCACTACCCCCGCGATGTTGTCACTATGTCTGTATGTATGTATGTATGTATGTATGTATGTATGTATGTGTGTGAGTGTGTGTGTGTGTGACTATGTGACTCGCTTATAACTTTTGAACGACTGAACCGATCGGAACGAACTAAACGGCGTTCTAAAGAGTTCCCTCGAACTTAGATTTCCTAAGAATTTGAACCGATTCGGACCGATAGATTTTAAGAAATCTTGAAAAATCTCAAAAAAAATAAGAAAAAAATCATTTTTGAAAGTGGTTTTTTTGGAATATCTTTTAAACGGCTCTATCGATCAACTTCAAAAACTAATCCGCCCTTAAGCTTGAAAAACCACGCCGATCGTCGCTAATCCGGTCGAAATCGGTTGATTCGTTCGAGAGATATCGTGAACGAATGAAAACCGAAAAAAGTGTTTTTTCGGGATTACTCCGAAATTTTTGGTTCGATCAATGGAAACCTGAAAATAACTTATGAGGATGATAAAACTGCGTCGAATGCCGCCAACCGCGTGAAAGTTGGTTGATCCATTCAAAAGTTATTGCGGTTTGAAAATTCCAAAAATAGTGTTCTATGAAACTTCTATTAGACTTTTGAGCTGGGAAAGCTCAAATGCATAGAAATATTATTTCTTTGAACTCAGTGAGCTCAAAATATCACATAAATTATATTTTGAGCTCAAAAATCTTTAAAATGTCATAAGTACAATTTTAAGCGCCCAGAAATCGAATTAGCGGGAAGTTGCAGGGATGGCCTTTAGAGTGAACCGTTTTTCTAATTTTTTTTTGTTTTATTTATATTTTTTTTTCCAGCATTTTTAATTGTTTGTAAAAAAATGAAAAATGAAAAATTTTCAATTTTTCCAACGAGTATCTTTTCTAAAGCCTTCAACGTAGAGTTGGGTAGTTCCGGCTAAATTTCGGATCGAATGTGGAACGTTTCCTGAGCTCAAAGGAACTAGTTCCTGAAAACGTATCCGCAGAACAATAAAATTTTTTAAACTTTTATTATAGCTACATTTATAAATAGTCAATAAGATC